CGCCCAGTGTCTCGTTCCGCCACCCCCATGGATCGGAAACAGACGTCATGCTGTTAGATTTGAATTAGTTAGATTTTTGATGTCTCTTTAAATCCATGATATTTATCTGGGAAATCTTACGCTGCCGTCTCGGTTAAACCATAACCGATAACCATAGGAGCTATAACCAAGGAGATAAATTCTTGCGTTTCCTGTGCAATTGGGCCAGCTCCATTCATAACGAATCTGAGCCTGCCCCCGGTGGCTTCGGTAATTTTTTTGAAAGCTACAGAGTTCAAAATATCCGTTCCGCCAAACTGCCGATTTGTGAGCGCTCGTTTGAGGTAGAATGCTGCCCAGAAGAGATTCTTCGAGACTATCCCAGCTTGCTCCACTTTTGAAACAACACCCTTTCTCACAGTTTCCCACACAGCTGGCACACCGACCATCAGGGTGGGTCTGAGTTCGCGGATGTCGCCCTTGCAGTTGCGAGTCAATACATCTGCAAGTGTTTTGGGGTTCCCGTAGCCCATCGCACTGCCCCAGAATAGCGCTGCATGTTCGAATACAAATTCGAAAATATGCGCCAAGGGCAGGAAGGTCAACACAATATCTCTCGGGCTAATATGGTGTCCAATCAACGAATTGATTCCAGCAACTATTGTACCACAATCAATTAGCAGGAATTTCGGGGCTTAGGGCTTTGTCTGAGCTTTGCAGCTTTCTTTCTTTCTTTTTTTTATCCTTCTTTATTTTATACATATGGTTTGTTCATACCTGCGGCAACAACATGTTTGTGTTTCAAGGGTACCCCTTTTGGAGGGCCCGTGGCACCTGATGTGTACATAATCATGCCCATATCCTCCGCACTTGGAGGTACAGGATCGGCGGGATTATCCTCCCCAAGTTTCCTGAGCTCCTCGAAGCTCATAAAAATCACACTAGGGTGTGCAGATTTCACGGAATCCAATGCGTCCTGTTGGAGCAGACAGGTATGGTTGTAAATAACAACTTTGATGCATTTAGTATCGACCAACAATTTGACAAGTGAGGCCAAAAGCTGTGGATCTGTGAACAGTGCCTTGGAGCCGGCTTCCAGCATTGAATGCCGCAGCCCTTCTTCGCCAAGGGTGTCGTACGAGGTAACGATGGACATGGACTGTGAAATCGCACCATGCGCCGTAGCAAGCCAACGATCACTGGTAGAAAGGCGGCGTGTTAGCATAGTAGCTAGGTGGATATAGAAAAATAGGAGACGAAGATGTGTTATTTATTATTTATGAATTTTTTCTTTTATTTTATTTTATTCGCCTTACCTTGTGCCTGCATATAGGTGAAGCCTATCCCCTTTGTTCAAACCAAGTTTCCTCAGACCCGCACCGATTTGCAGAGTTAATTTTTCATACTCATTGAAGCTGATGAAGCTGTAGCCACTTAGCTCAAAATATGTCCACTCTTTGTCCACCTCGTGATCTTCACCGTTCACCAGCTTCTTCACCTTCTTGGTTTCCTTGTGCACATGTAGAAGCTCTCGCGAGCCCATGCATTTTGCATTTCCGAATTTCGCGGCACCGCGCTTGACAATGTCATACACAGTATTGATTGAATCTTCGGGCCGAGTAAGTAATTGATTCTTGTATTTTATATTTCGACGAGGAATTGTTTCGCCCTCGACAGCCGCGTAGCCCGGGGCATCGACTGTGAACGGGGGTTTCTGTGCCGTACCACCATTGAGAACATTAGTGACAGCGAATTTCCTCTCAGCCATGCTGGTGGCAGAAGCATATGATACTAGTACTACTATGGCTTGCAAACTTTCAAACAGACGAGTGGGGATATCCACATGGAATATGCGGTCCGGAGTGTACAGTGCTACTGTAGCTCATTGAGGGTCGAGAAAAGATGTGATATATATCCACTTGCCGAGAAAAGAGAGGGCCTACTTACAGCAAAAGTCAAAGTCATTGCTCAAAGCATATGACACCGAGGCCCCTGTCAAGGGACGAGGCGCGTATATAAGTGTTGGGTGGCTTGGGGGGAAAACGCAATAATCGCGCGGACCAGATTGGTGGTTGAGCTGAGAATCGACAAACAAAGTTACCCGTATGCAGTTATTAGCTCGTATTCGGGGTAAGACAGGTTGTTGGAACTTGGAAACCGCTGATGCCACCGCCACCATCCTATACATAGCCTAGGATAATAAATACGACAGTGGGGAAGTGCTCTGCGCATTATTATTATTACTTTTTATTTTTTATTTTTTATTTTTGTCAGGGCGATCTCAGATTCTCTCAAGGCTCCGGAGTACTCCTTTCATAGCAACCTTTCAATGAGCCAAGCTTACTATCTACTGCCTCTTGTCAAATTTTCAGTGTGAACGGAGTAAGTTACTACATATGAAATCTGTTGTTGTACCGATTAGAAATGATGGATGTTTTTGAGAAATATTCTACTTCGTAATTCTATAGTAGTAAATATCACTTTCCGGAGGAAATTAACATATCTAGTAGCATAAAAATCGCGTTTGACAGATTACTCGTGATTTTCACTCATTTTTACACTGTCTGGTAACATAATCAGCAAATATTACTATTAGTTAGTAACTTAGTATTAGAGAATTGGAAATTATCGTTCAATGGTTAGTATCGTGACAGGGCATATCTACTCTATATACCATAAGGGCGGATAGCGCACTACCACTCCAACCAAAAAGCTCAGACAGTAGTAATAATAGCAGCCGCTATTATTGACGCCTGGACCCTATATGATTAAACACCTGGGGGATGTCAGGGCGACATGCCACTGATTGATGCACATAGAAAGAGTTATAGTACTTGGTACTATGAAGATGGTGTCCTCTGAAAAGGATTGGGTCTAGGCTACGGAGTAGTTTCAACGGTTCGGTTGGGTGGGGCACGCTTTCTAGGGTTAAGCCAACTAACGGGTTAAGCCACCAGCTCACCCAAGTCTCCAAAAACCCAGGCACTGGGCTAGTGAGAATTCGATTGTTCAACCGCAGGCAGCAGGATTTTCATCAACGACACTTTTACATTCATTGAAGCAGGAAACAACAGCTGTTGCGCTTCGATAGAGGCAACATGTTAAATATAGTTTCATATCGCTCGCTCGTGTTTGAGGGCATTTCCTCCGCTCGTGAACCCGCAGCCCGGTAGCCCATCCAGATTGAAACAAACAAACTTTCTACGGAGTATATTCCTCAGACTTGGCCGAAACTGCAGGAACAAGATGACAGAGAAGCACACTCTTCAATTGCTACCTGGCGAAATCCTCCAACTCATCCATTCCTTTCTTTCGCCGGGCTCCAAATTAACGCTCTCCATGACCTGTAAACGTTTCTACGACAGCTTCTTCGAAACCATTCCTGCATCCTGCATGTATGACCCGGTCAGGCGCCGGGAATTAGAAGCAGCTGGCCGGGACAGCCCCTACATGGACGAATTGGAGATCTATGATGTTTACCGCGGCCGCGAGCTGTGTGGATTTAAATCCAAGCGACAACTCTTCTGCTGCGATTCATGCCTAATGAGGCATTTCCGACTATTCTTCCACCCTGATAAACTTGACAAACCCGTCACCGAACGCGGTTGCATTAAACACACGAGGGGCTTCTGGATAGAACCCGGGAAATGCTTTAGTTTTGGGGATTTAATTGTCCCGGGGCGACCGGCGCGGATCGACAAGATGCAAACTCCCCGCGCTATCGCAGTGAGTGAGGATAACAGTAACGCGCGCAGATATTTATTATGGACACACTACGACATACTTACCCTACCAATGCACAAGCGTGCGTCAAAGAAGCAAATCGCCAAGATCCTCAGCGGCTTCGACCTGCCCACGTGTCCGCACATACGGCTCAGTGATAGCGTGATCATGGAACATTGCGATATCCCGCGTCACACTATCACCGAGCCGCTCAACCAGCGCTCCTCTCCATTTTTTGACCCGGTCGATCTCCGCCCGAAATGTACATTCCCGTCCTGTCTTACCTCGTTCTGCTGGACGGAGCATGCCAGCACGGAAACTCCCGGGTGGAAAACTGTCTACCTCCATGTTCTCCGTAAATTGCGCCTCAACACCGCTGTTGACCGTACTTGGGTCGTGCAATTGATGAACCCCAGCGAAGCTCCGCTGTTGGAACGTCATTGGAACGATTGCTTCCGGTGGAAAATTGAGATACTTGCCATCGAGAAGGAAAAATATGAAAATGAGGCTAGCGATGAGGTTGATGCTCGTAGCGGTGGCGGTGTTGGTGGTGGATGTAACGAGGACCGGGACGGTGCTAAGCATGCAACAGAACTCCTCGCGCGCGAGGCTCTACTCCGCCAGCGCGAGGATATCGTGAACACCCTCTTCCACCCACGTCGTTTACGAAACTACCCAGACATTATACGCAGACTCGAGGGAATGGATAACAATTTATCCATCACCAATAATAATAACAACCCGAACACAACCTCTAGTAGTGCCCGTAGGACATGGACACCCCCAACCACGGCAATAGTTACCAGCGAAAGGACCCGTGAGACAGACTCATCTATTAAGTCAATACTGAAGAAGCAGTCTGAGGCCGTGCTGCTCAGACCGTTCCTGCCCACACCGTTCTTCACGGAGGAGGACTTTGAGCGACAGTTCAGGCGAGAGTGGGGGGAGACACCTGTACACGCGCAAGGACAAAAAAAACCGACGTCACTGATTGGAAGGTTGTTTAATGCCACCTTTTAATGGAAAGGACATTGAATTAATTAAACGGCCGTTCATGCAAACTATTTTATTTTATATGAATTGATTACCATGTGACGTTGAGTTGTTGTTTTTGATATAAGTTGCAACCCCCACCCAAATATTTTACAGCTAAGGGGCACAAAGCATAAATTACAGTCAACTCTACGGTTTGTAGAGATTGGCTTCTAAAAGCAAGTTATATAGAGAAGCAGGAACATAAGCTCGTCAGGCATCAACAAAAAAATTTTTTTAAAAAAAAATCAAAAGAGAGAACTAAACGACGCGAGCAGGATTCGAACCTACGCCCCCGAAGGGAAGAGATAGAGTGATATGTTGGTTCTAGTCTCTCGCGTTAACCACTCCGCCATCGCGCCTTTATTCTGCCGAGGAGACAAGCTAGTTCAACTTTCGAGGTATTTAACCGCACGATCCGGTTTTGAGCCAACTCTATCAAAAGAACCCAGGCAAGGAAAAGGCGAGTTCAATCACCTGGCTCTCAAACACACTATACGGAGTACCATATACACTGTTTTTACCAGCAAAACAAAATGATAGGCAAGTAATGGCTATTATACTTATGGTATGTATATCACACTCTTGCTACCTCAGCTTCTCCCCGGTACGCCACCATAAAAAGTCAAGCCCACTGCGCCAGAGAAGGACATAAAAAGAAAAAAGTACCACCCTATCCGCAAAAATAAACACAAAGACAAAGAGCGAAGGCATTATGAAACAGATTAGGAATAATTTTGCAGACGCAAACGCTAGAGACCTAAAGAAAATCCAAGTAGAAAATGGTCCGCACCTGGACCACCGCACTAATTAATCTCGTCTGGCAGGGTTAATGGATACCATTTTTACTATTTACTCCATAAATCTGACCACTTGACTGGCTGGCTTGGCCCTCACTCATCTGTACCAAATCCGACCTATCCTTTTCACACGTCCGGCGAATTGTACGTGCCTTTCTGTCGGTTGCTAGGATTTTTGCAAATTTGGATTTCTCCCTGATGACTGCTCCCTTCCAGTAGAATACGTAAATCGGGATGGTAACCAGAAAAGAAATAATAGCAAGAATGGTGGAGGGCCATTCGAGTTGATACTGGTTGCCAATTGTCTCATATACTACAGTTATGTCAGCGCAAGCTGGTGTTTCATTGATACAGGGGAGGAGAGCTCACATGGAGTTGAATACATCGCCGCAATTCCAGCAAGGAAATCTCTTGCCAGCGCATTACCACCCGTCGCAGATGCTGAATACGGTCCATAACTTGCGACCATGTAGTCAATTGTCCCCATGTATATGCAATACTGTATAATCTTGTTAACGCCATAATGCGTACTAAAATCGGATACTAAGAATGGGGCATTTTGAACATACATTTGCAACGGCAATCAACAGGGAAAATATCATAGGGGCAATCCAATGCACTTGAGGTGGACCTAGACTTGTCCATGCGAATCCGAATAAACCGATGGTTTCAAGAGGGGCAGCTGTGTGCAACAACCATGTCAGAAGAGCTTCCTGCAGAAGCAAGCAAGAATAGCGTCCTACTGAATAACAACCACCATAATCTTGACTCTGGCTCAAGGATATTTGGGTTTTTGCTATGAATTTTGCGGTGCTTTATCATGATGGGGAGAAAAGAGATATAGCCGATGTAGTACCCGATGAGGATGCTATGACCACCAAATTAGCGATTCATTCAAACTTTTCAAGACATCTGTTTTACGCGAAAATCGCATATACATACGGTATAAAGGCCAAACCGATATGAATGGTACTGAATCCCCATTGGGCGTACACGGGCTGGTATGACTCGAGGAAGGTGAAAATCAAGGCATCGCTAAACCCGCTGAGGAGTGACAGACAAAACACGATAGGCTCGCGCACAAACATACTGAACGGTCGAGCCCAGATTATCGCAATTTCCTTCATCGTAATTCCCGGCCCCTGGATCTCTCCAGGGCCGTAGATATTTACCTCCCCTGCCCGGCGTCGCCTTTTAGCTTCTCTGTCCAGGAGTATGGTAGCCCTTGTTTCTGGGACAATTACCAGGTGAGCGAGTTGAGCAGCAGCTCCAAAGATGAGTTGAACCCAAAAGTTCCATCTCCAGTCGAGGTAAACTTCCATGAAGCCGCCCACGATAGGTGCTATGACAGATCCCGCAACGGAAGCAAGCACAATGAAAGCGACAGCAAACTGTTGGTCATCGGGTTCCCACATATCCGCAATCATCCCGAGTGTAACGGAACCGCCAGCGGAGGATAAACCGCCGAAAAATCGCCCAATCACGATAGTATGGTAATTCCGAGCCAACGCACAAGGGATCTGCCATATGTTTACCAGGGACAAACTCAGCTGCATGACAGGGTATCGGCCAAGTTCCTCGCTCCACGGGGCCCATAGCTCACTCCCAAACGCATAGGCGACGAGGAAAATCATCTGGCCCACTCTAGCAGCCTGTTCAGAAACAGAGAAATGGTGTTCTAGCGGGGTGATGGCATTGGCGTAGATACTGGTATTGAAGTTCATGGATAACTGTACGAAGAAAACAACGCTGAGAATCGTCCATCTTTTCCGCCGCGGGAAGCTGAAGCCCAGTTTCCCATAACAGTCGCTTTCGAGAAGCAGCCTTTTTTTAGTCTCATTCGGTGCTGGAGCGGGCGCTATTGGTGGCGACTGCGGTGATACTATTTTACCTTGCCCATCATGTAGTGGATTGTTGTCTTCTCCGCTCATCTGAAGAGACTCCGAGGCGAATGACGACAAACGTAAGGCATCACTTTCAGCCGAGGCCGGCAGTTTGTCACGTAGACTGGCGCGGAATTTTGGGATGAATCTGGGATAGGTTTTATGGCGCGAATGAGAGTGCTTAGGTTCTCCTCGCGACGCGATCGGGACAACAGGATCTGAGGCAGGCATGGTGTACTAGTAAGAATGGGATTATGAAGAAATGTTCCACAAAGTTGTACCGTGTACACTGTGAGATGGAAACACGGGAAAAAGAATATTAAGATAAAGAGAATAGCGTAGAATACGATGAACGGGAAAGCAAAACGAGACACCAGAAACAACAATAAGCACACGACAGCAGCAGCAGGAACAAGTTTGCACCCATTTTGCGCCGACTGGGGAAGAACAACCACAGCCATATTGACCTGCTGCTGCTGTGTATGAATGCTTGCTGTTGTTATTCATTTTATTAGGAGCGGGAAGGAATAGTTCGGCCTGGATTTAGAATTGCGGCTGTAAAATGCAGGATATAGTTGAAGTTATAACAGCGAATAACTTCACCAGGGGACGGATATATATTACCTGCACATATAGTTAGTAGGCAGTATTAAGTAGCTATATGGGATTTTGAAAAATAGTAGGTATATTGTCGTCAGGATGCCTTTTCAATTGATAACTGTTTACTACCATATCAGCTTAGGGATTGTACACAGTAGATCCGGAGATTTGGCCAGGCTGACTAAATATGTATATAAATTTGGCCCCCGAATAATAACTAGTTAGGAGTTAATGAGCCTGTTATCTGCTCCACTTTCTAAACTACCGTAGCTTACTCCAACTACTTCCCTACTCTGACTGCATACAACTCGAAACAAAACAGCAAATATCGCTCCTGGAATCGCAGCAAGCAAAAAGCGCTTGTTCAGTTCTCACTGACCACATAGATACTTCCCCAACCCGGCTTGTTCAACCTTAGCCTTGTTCAGCCCTGTTTCTTCCCTGTTGCAACTACTAATTATAACATGTGATTTAGCATCCAAGTGTGATCGCTGTGAAGCTGCCGTGTTTGCATGCCGAAGCCGGCTAATGAACCCAACCTCCAAGCCATCATTCATCATGGAGAAACGGAAGGACGGAGATAATTCAGTCTTTATTGCTACAACAGAAAAAGCGATTGGATGGAGCAGACACGGCAACAAAAGTATCTTGCTGAGAATGAGGGCGCTCAGTAGCCTACTTGGAGAACGTCGAACCCTTTTGAATCGTGAATTGGGTAGTAGGATGCCCTTCCACTAAATGGTGGTGGTGGTTGGCTTGCTGCTTTTTATTTATTCATTTATTATTATTATTATTAATTTTTTTTTTTTTTTTTAAAACGTCGGCCATTAGATCATTAGATTTCTCGATTTATTCGATGCACGCCAATAACGGATGGGGTACCCGAATCCTGTTTGGAAAATGCTGGTTGTGCTGATCTATCATCAATCAATGCCCTTCTCCTTTCCCTGGAAAACGCGTGGCGGGTGTGCCCCATTTTCAACATATCGGGTAATAAATACTTTGTTAACACCATGTCATATCTCATCTGAGAAGGCACAAAGACCTGATCGCCCAAGATACCACGCATCCCCAAGGCACCTGTTCAACCCCCACTGACTCAACGCTCAACCAAAGCCAATCGCCAATTTGGAGTCTATCACTGAGGATATTTTGTTCTTCGCATCGATGCTCTGCCGCCTGTGTCAGAGTAATGCCAGCGCGGGAACTATCCTGTCATCATTCGGAACCAAATTTAGAAAACCCCAATTGCACATCGATAAATGTATGACTGGCTCTACCTCAAACAAGCTAGCGGAAAGATTTCTTTCCCGCGCCACCCCCCCTTTCCCCTGATGGAATTACGGGGTGGGGAGAGACTATAAAAGCTATACATAAGCTTAACTTGATCGCCGCTCCACCCCGTTCCACTCTGCCATATTTTTGAACACCGACCTTTTGGCGAAACAAAAGAGGACAGCCCTATGGTTTATGTTTGATTTCAGAGCTATCATACTATTTTGTCACGTTGCGTCGATCCCCTGCTGGCAAAAGGCTGTTTGCCGTTTGAAATCCCCAACTTGGACTTACTGGTAGCATAGGGCTCCATTTTAAAAAGGACAGTGTTTACAATTTTTTGCCTGTCAATATGGAGATGAACAACGATGAAGAAGTAAGTTTCGATCATATTCAAATCGAATGCATTAACATCTCATACCTCCCTGGCATTCGAGTACCAAAATCAGCCAACTGAACCGGAGCAAAGAAAATGTCTACTAACATGATTTCTCATAACTAGACACTCCGACAGTTAGTTTAGCACGATAGGGATGATCTCTATTTGCCATTTATCACTGACCTTAAATTTGTCCAGGATTGAGAAAGAGTTGGACACTAAGATCTACCCTGGCACCGAGATTATGACGGATGTTGGCTCTTACCACTTTGTCAAGTCATCCAAAAGTTCAGATCGCGTCTTAGTCCCACAGCCTTCTAACGATCCCAATGACCCCTTGGTGAGCAAAGGCCCCTAAGCATACTCTGTCTGTCATCTCGCTTTCAACCTAGAGGACCGTGTATTGACAAGAAAATAGAATTGGA